GTACAGAGAAGCAGACAGACAGACAGACAGACAGATTGAGAGGAACATACAGACAGACAGGCGTAGATAAAGAGCAACAGATGAGAGCGAGAATTAACTGAAGATCGGGATGAAGAGCGAGTCGAATAGGATTTATGCAAAAGTGACCCCCCCCCCCCAAAAAAAAAGAAAGAAGCAGAGGGTGAAAAGTAACAATCATCCAACTTCTCCGACTCACCTCGACTCCCTCGTTCCTCAGACGATCCACCTCAGCCTGCAGACGACGGCTGCGTTTCCCGCCACTACTGACCAGAACAGCCACATCCTGGGCCCCGGACCGGCCGCCAGTGGTTCCATAGAAGTCATTTCCGGACACGCGCTGGACATGAGACATAATGTAGAACTTGTCAGTATAATATTAGTGTTGTACTGTGGAATATTATACTAAGGAAAATTATACTGTGAAATATTATACTGCGGTGGGTTATGCTGTGGAAAATTATACTGTGGTAGGTTATATTGTGGAATATTATACTGTGGTAGGTTATATTGAGGAAAATTATACGGTGGAATATTATGCTGTGGTAGGTTATATTGTAGAAAATTATACTGTGGAATATTATACTGTGGTAGGTTATACTGTGGAATGTTATACTGTGGAATATTATACTGTGGTGGGGTTGCAGTCTGCTTTTTCCTTTTTTTCTACGAGTTGTTGTTAATATGTTTGAGAGAGAGCATAAGAGTGAAAGAGAGAGAGAGAGAGAGAGAGAGAGAGAGAGAGATAAATAGATAGATAGATAGATAGATAGATAGATAGATAGACAGATAGATAGATAGATAGATAGATAGATAGATAGTGTGTGTGTGTGTGTGTGTGTGTGTGTGTGTGTGTGTGTGTGTGTGTGTGTCGTGTGTGTGTCCTTATGAGACACAGAGAGGGGGTGAAAGAGAAAAAGGAATGGGGTTGGGAGGAGTGAGTGTATGAATGTCGTGTAAATGTGTGTGTGTGGGGGGGGGAGGGGGGTATCCTTTCCCGTCACCCGACTGGTTAAGTTTGCTTTTGTTTTGTTTTTTAATGTATTGTTTTTTACACCCAAGTTGACATAATATTTGTCGTTAAGAAGACAGGATTCGACATTGTCTGTCAGGGCCAACCCGAGGTGTGAGTGATACAACGACCAAGCAAAAACTGAGACACTGTGTAAGTTCGTTTTTATTTTCCCTCATGGGAATCGAACCCTGGTCTTATGCGCACGGTGGTGTAGCGCCAAACCGCTACAACACAGTCACCGATCTGGTACAAGTTCTCCAAGTAAGTATTGTCACTTGATACTTGATTGGAGAATAGTATCATCGCAGGTGATACAATACCATAGACATGAGGCTCCTCCCTCCTCTCCGGGATCAATGGAATGTGGGTTTTTTTTTGCTAATAGTGCCAGTTTCCAGCTCAAAGAAGGTCGTACGTTTTGGTCTGCCTTTGCCACTTATTGTATTTATTCATCGCCATAATTGGTAGCTTTTAATTAAGCACAAGGGGGCTATCCCGAAAAAATGCTGTTTTGAGAGAATTGAAGGTAAAGTTGTTGTTTTTTTTACCTTTGTTCAGTTTCTGTAAAACACATGAGTTTTCTGAATAACCAAACAAATATACACACCAATGAAACCAAATTTCTCCTA